AGAGATCATTGTGTGTTAGGGCCTATGTGCTGTTATAATTGTTTGCATTTGCATTCTGTGCGTATGGGTGCACGCTCATGTGCTTAAGAGTTACTTTTTGCACTGTTTGCGGAGCAGTTTTCCAAATACTTCCATTTGAACAAGACAGTCTATCCTGGGTTGATATTTCGAACACATGTCCTATATGTAAAACACTTAATGATGAAATGGGAAGTAAATCTTTGAAATCCCTCCTAAGTTAATTTCAAATATATGTTTCGTAAAGGTCTTTGGGAATACTTTAACGCAATATCCATTTCCCAAGTGGTAAGTAGGGGACAGGTACCCATACGTCAGCCACGGCTGACATGCCGCGCTAGACGTTTGCTTCATGCTGGCGGCGCGCGCGATGTAATCGCAATCGTGCGCCAAGCTGGTCAGTTCCTTCGCGCTCAGTCCCATAGCAGTTCCAGCGCCGTCCCAGTTAGATTGGTTACACTACGTCTCTTTTCTTCTGCGCTCACCTTGGAGAACTACTAGGCTGTACCCTGCGCGCCTGTGCTGCTTTCCCGTGCTGCACCTGGTGGTAGACTGCCCCAAACGGGTCTGCTCCCTTGGCTGCCTCAGACTAGAACGCTCGCTGACGTTGGCCAAGGACAACCAGGGGGTTGTGTGTGCACGACCGCCAAAATTGGTGTCAGAAGTTGGATTGTTTTACTTGTAGAAAGTACATTCACCTACAGGAGCGCCCAAGAAGGTGACTAAACGGAATTCCAAACACCTACAGATTATCGGGATCACTGCAGGAACGATTAAAAATGAGGGTAACTTAATGTCCCTCCGGCTTGATGTCCAGAGGGGTGAAGACGAATAACAAAAGTTTCAAGAAGAGAACCAGAATATGAGGGAATTACTTCTCTCTCAGGACCGCTTGCTGAGCAAACAGCTACATCTAACACACCTTAAACAAACAGAGGCATTCACTGGGTTGTACATCACACAGTTCTGCGACGACGGGTGCTTTTCCACAACCAAGGAGTCCGGCACACTTAATTCGTTATCGTCATTCAGGCCAACGCCTAAGCCAAGACGAACATTTTTCAACACACAGGCACAAGTACCCACGACAGTTTCTTCAACGATGATTGAGTATGCAACGCTAATTGGGACACCGACAAATGAAGTGGGTAACGCTTGCCTGGGGGCTCGCCGCTAGGTCATTCGAAAGCATGCAGCCAGTTGAGCGGGCGAGAGACAGCGCCAAGACCTGAGATGGAAAAGTCATCCTCAGACCTACCAAGAAAAGGAAGTCTTAAAAGAAGCCAGCCTACAGTTGAGAGGAGTGAGTCGGGTTGTTCGACCAGGTGTCCGAATATAATTCCCGACCGATTCAATGGCAAGACGCCATGGCGAGATTATACTCAACACTTTGAAGCCTGTAGACTTGAGAATTATTGGACGGACGGCCAAACAATATTTCTCCTAGCAGCAAGTTTGCAGGGACCAGCGTTGAAGGTTTTGGAGCGTTCAACAGTGGTTGGAAAGGACCTCACATGTGTGTAACTGCATGCTGGGGATGCTTGAAAAAAGATTTGGTCAGGGAGAACTCGCCGAGACATATTTGATGGAGCTGCGCCATAGGTGCCAAAACCAATCGAAACGACGGCGAATCGGGGCAAGTGATACGCGAGTTGACAGCACTCGTTTATCTGGAGTTGCCAGATGAAGGGCTTAATGGCCTTGCCAGATGGTCCTTTCGCTGATGCAGTACAGAAGCAGGCCGTCCAGGAGGGGATATTCCGGGCAAAACCGGCGTCACTAGACGAAAAGGTTCGGGCTGCACTCAACACCGAGGGATTCCTGAAGATTGAAGCACAGCAGGCGGATAGACGCCTGAAGTTCCCCAGAGTAGTGGAGGACGACGTGCGAAACCCCTTGGAAGAAATAAGACAGGAGGTAGAGAACAATCAGCGTGAAGTACGGCAGTGGCTAGAGACGACTGCACAGATTGAAGGTCTCAAGAAAGACTTTCAAGAAGAGGCAGGACCTGTACGGAGCCTGCGATAGGTGGAAGGCCACTGCTGACGATGTTTGCTTCAAATGCAAACGGCAAGGACCTGAGGTTGAGGCTGAGGTTGTCTCTCACCAGGGAAGAAAGGAAGTCGAAAAACAGGTCACAGCTGACCCCGTGGCCTGGAGGGAAGTTGGACAACAACGAAGGCCGAAAAGAGCAGAGGACCGTGGAGGTAGCAGACAGCTAATAAATGATGAGCCTACAAAGAAAAGATTCTTCCGGACTGGACAAATGACACGTGCATAGAGTGGGTTATTTGTACTAGTGACTGTTCGGGGACACCGGGCGAACCTGTTGGTTGATACGGAAGCCACGAGCACGTTCCTTTCATCCACTTAAGTGTACAGGATTGCACCAGAAGACTGACCAGTACTGAGTAAAATGGAGACAAATGTACGAAGTACCAACCCGTGAATAGAAGTGAAGCTGCCAGCGGAGGAGTAGTGGTTGCTCTCACGCTGGTGAAGACTGACGAGGATGTTCTTCCAATCCGAGTCTTCAATCCGGGAAAACGAGTATTTGTAGTTGAGGAAGGCACAATGGCAGACTCATTAACTAGCATCTACGAGAGGGACATAGAAGATTCAAAAGACCTAACACCAGAGTCAATTCAACAAACAGGAGACCTGGAGTATCTTGTTGACCTGTACGGGGAGTACGGAAGAAGTCCGAGCAAAGTTTCATGACAAAAAGCAGAATTGCTGAGCAGCTATAGTGATGTCTTTTCCAACAATGACATAGACATCGGTCGCACTCATTGTGCGAAGCACAGCATAAACGCAAGAAATGCTAGACC